CGGCCGAGAGCTTGCCTTGGTCGCTGGAAGTCGCCCCTTCCTCAGGCCCTGTGGGAGATGGAGTCCGCATGGCCTTCTGGCAGGGCTTTTTTATTTTTCTTACGTATTTCTCCAAAGCAGAGCCATGCGAAAGCTTTTGAACTCACGTTGACTTAAAAGAACGTTTCTATAAGACCCATTTTTAATTTCTTTTACCTTATTTTTTTGTTACTCTGAAACAGGCTTTAAGAGGCCTTGGTGTGAAACCAGGTTGTAAATGAACAACTTTTGTTGCTAATACAATTCAGATTGTGATTCGGTTCCTTCACCCTCATGAAGTTGCTCCGTGCTTGTGCTGGAGTCTCTGTGCTAACTCCAGGAGCCAGTGCCTTGCCAGGAACCAGCGTTAAAAACACAGTGCTTTCATTGCTATTAGTTGGTTAGTTTTGAGTTTAGTAGTATTTTTAATACTTCTGAAGGAAATTGTGGATGGGAAAGGGGAGGAAGATGCTTTGCCTGTATTACTGCTGTGAGCTCTTAATTTAACAACAAATAGAGTATAATGCTAGCAGATTCTTTTTTCTTTTCAAGAGTGCTGCTCAGACCAATAAGCTATTATTTGACGTCTTTGCAGTTTTTTGAAAGGAAGCTGGTGCTGCTAGCAGTTGAGTTTTTCACCTCAAATTTTGAGGCAGCAGGGATTGTTCAGAGGGCCCAGAGTTTACAAAAATTTTGTTCTGATACTAAGTGTGCTTGCTTGTAGCCATTGTGAGTCTCCAGCTTGTATTAGAGAAGCTGGTTACAGTATTTTGACTAATTCAATATCATCTAAATAACAAGCCTTTGGTAAACTGAATAAACACAGGTAGGTTTTATATAGTTTTTTTTAATAGTAGGTGGGAAGTAGTTTAGTTTAGAAGGTGTTACTAAAGAGCCGAGGTTCAATTCTAGATTAATTTTACCCGAATGACTTGGAAATCTATTGAATTTCAAACCTCAGGTATAATTTTCTGGATGTGGATAGTGCTGTGGAGCACCATTTTAAGTGAAAATTATTGCTATGATGATGTAATTTGCGTCTTATCCAGTGTTCAGTGACAGTTGCCTGCTGTCAGCATGCTGGCACTGTTGAACTGAAGACCCCTTCATTCTGAGCAATATTTGATGGATTTGAATACTAGCAGTTTACTTTACTTGCGCTTACGAGTTTTTTCTTTTTCAGGCTTGCGCTCGACCGTTAATATCCGTCTACTCTGAGAAGGGGGAAGCATCAGGCAAAAATGTCACCTTGCCTGCTGTCTTCAAGGCTCCCATTCGCCCCGACGTCGTGAACTTCGTTCACACCAATTTGCGGAAGAACAACAGGCAGCCCTATGCTGTCAGTGAACTTGCAGGTATGGCTTGTCCACAAAACGGACAGAACTACTTGTATTAGCCTTTGACTGTAATACAGGTGGGCTAAAATTGAAACAAATTTAGAATTTAAATAAGAGAAGAGCTGTTCAGTGGGATTCTGTATAGAAGGCAAAGTCTTGGAGTACTCTGGGCTCTTACCTGAACGGTGCATTACTGAAAGTATTGTGGTGCCTGGGTCCTCGAGTGGAATCTGCGTTCTTTGCAAGAAGAACACAAAATGTCTGACGGTGTATCAGGTAGACAACAGTGATGAAAAACCGTGCTTTGTGATCCCTGCTCCGTGTTGACCACAGGAGACTTTACCTGAGGCATTTGCCAAGAAGAAACCTCTGCGAATGGGCAGAACGTTAGAGTTGCTTCAGAAGCCAGTAGGAGCAAACAGCTACTGCTTCCCAAGAAATTCGTGCCAGGAACGTGCAGTTTCGAGTTTATTTCTGATGGTGTTTCATGTAAACGTTTGAACCCCCTAGGAACAGCAGTGCCCATTCAGACCTCCCAATGGAGGATCGAGCGTAGAAGTCAGTGTGTTAATGTACTTGATTCTGACCTAAGCAGATCTTTAGTGTGGTAAGAGTTAATTACCTGACCAGGATTTGTTCTGCTGAAATGATGAGATTCCACTTCATTGGTCCGTGTTTCTGAAACACATGATAACTGGAAGTTCTGATTGGCGGTCCTGAATTCTGCCTGTCGGTGACTTTATGAAAATTGCAGTGTTGTCACTGTCTGAATTAAAATCTTTCTGTTCCAGGTCATCAGACCAGTGCCGAGTCTTGGGGTACTGGGAGAGCCGTTGCTCGTATTCCTCGAGTACGAGGTGGTGGAACTCACCGCTCCGGCCAGGGTGCCTTTGGAAACGTATCCTTTCATAGCTGCCTCTTGCATCAGCTGTAAAGCTGAATTCACCAAGCAGAAGATTATTTTTAAATATCTAAATGTGAAATGGAGTCTTCTGCTTCTTGAGGTAGTGGCTACCTGCAGTGATCTGGACCGCCGAGTTCGAGAAATTTGTAACGTGATTAGAACCTTCTCTGTGCAAATTCAGACTTGCTTTAATGAAGAGAGGCTTTCATTGATTGCTTTTTTCACCGCTGCAAAAGTGGTGGGTATCTTCAATCTCACGACGCGTACCGTCTTGCCATGATGTCGTAATTTGCGTCTTACTCTGTGCTCAGTGACAGTTGCCTGCTGTCAGCGTACTGGTACAGATGGTTGACGAACAATTAACACTGAGCAAGGATTAGAGTCACACCAGAAAAAGGAGCTTCAGAAAGGTTGTTCTTAACTGTCGGTGCATAGATGTGTCGTGGAGGCCGCATGTTTGCCCCAACCAAGACTTGGCGGCGCTGGCACCGCAGAGTGAATACAACTCAAAAGCGTTACGCCATCTGTTCCGCTCTGGCAGCGTCCGCTCTGAGCGCTGGTCATGTCTAAAGGTGGGAATTCTGCCTCTGGAAACGTTTGCCTGCAATTTTACGTTGCCTGAGCGGTATCAGTTGCTATGTGATTACTCAAAATGTTTATTGTGGATAACTAAATTCTCTTTTAAATAGTTTAAGAGGCAGTCCGTTCCTCAGTGGGGGGCGTTTTTGTTACGTGCGACTCGGTTGTGCGGCGTTGGAATTTCAGTGATGCCTAGGTGCTTTTGTGTGCGTGGCCGACAGGAATCTTTTCCCTGCATTTTATGGAAATTGAAATTGAATTTTGAGTCGCGTGGCAGTTCAGTTTGATTTCTGGTCATGGAAGGCAAAGATTTGCTTAATAGTCACTCAGGTACCGAAAGTGCAGTCTGAGGCAGACCCACAAGACTCCAGTGGAACTTCACTACTGCAGTTACTATGCCTGAATACGAGATCGTGAATTTAATTCCCACTATTTATCATTTTGTATCATTTCTGAATACGCTGTGAAGGCAGTAACCTTGAGAAACGCGTAGAGCCAAGATCAGCAGGTAACTTTGTGTCTTGTAAAATCCTCGCTAGGCCACCGCATTGAGGAGATCCCCGAACTCCCTCTGGTTGTGGAGGACAAAGTCGAGAGTTACAAGAAAACCAAGGAAGCTGTTCTCCTTCTGAAGAAGCTTAAAGCTTGGAATGACATCAAAAAGGTGAGTTGCTAAGGCATGTTCCTAAGAGCAAAACCCAGGCGATTCGGCTGCCGTTGTTACAGTAGGAATTCCAAATGGTTCTGTTTTGATTTAATGCCACTAGAAATCCCTTGGTAACAAAACTACAAGAAACTGTCAAAAAACCCCAAACAAAAAAACCCCAGAGTTTAAGCAAAGTCATTTCTGACTACGCTGCTTTACTCTGTACGTAGCTGTCTTCATTTTGATGTTGCTTAACGTTTTTTTTGCTCTTAAGAATGATGAACTTCTCACTGGTCCGTGTTTCAGATAAGCAGTGATGATTGTGAAGTTCTGACTAAAGCGGTTTTATCCCATCTTACTAATGGGATTTGGACTATTTTGAATATTCACAAGTTTCATTTTTATATAGGTTTATGCCTCCCAGCGTATGCGGGCCGGAAAGGGTAAAATGAGGAATCGCCGTCGCATCCAGCGCAGGGGACCCTGCATCATCTACAACGAGGACAATGGTATCATCAGAGCTTTCCGGAATATCCCAGGTAATTTTGACTTGGGGCACGCTTGCTCTTTTGTTGAGAGACTGCCTGGAATGATGAGAATTCCACTTCATTGGTCCGTGTTTCTGAAACACATGATTTTGTGGAAGTTCTGACTTGCTGCAGGAGCTAATAGGCTCTTTCTAAGAATCCGTTTTGGTTGTGGTGAGGATGTTTATGATAAATTTGATGGCTGTCGCCAACCATAAACTTCATTTGGAGCCGTTAAAAATGAGGCTGTCAAGTTTGTGGCTGGAAAAAGGCTGATAATTGTTTTTTAAAATGTAATAGATTTTCATCCATAGGCGTATGTCACTGTCGTGTAAAAGCTACTGAGCCCACATCCATTTCTGTGTCCTTTCTCGTCTGTCCCTTGCTTAGGCTTGCATTCCTTGACTTGAATTAGGAATGAAAGGGGCTGGTTTGTCTGTTTCTCTGCAGGAATTACTCTGCTCGATGTGAACAAGCTGAACCTGCTGAGACTTGCTCCCGGCGGCCACGTCGGGCGTTTCTGCATTTGGACGGAGAGCGCCTTCCGCAAGCTGGATGATTTGTACGGCACCTGGCGCAAAGCTGCTACGCTGAAGAGCGACTATAAGTAAGCACAGCCGAAGTCAGGCACAACCGAAGGGGGTAAAACAGGCGCGGGAGAGCAACCCGCCAGCCTGTTGGGTTCTTCCGCGTGGAGGCGGAAGATGAAGACGCTTTCTTTTTCCTAAATGCCTATTTTCATCGGACCAGCCGTGGTTTTGTCACCGAGCTGACACTATGAACGTTTGTTTCGCAGCCTGCCGATGCATAAGATGACCAACACAGACATCGGAAGAATCATGAGAAGCCAGGAAATCCAGAAGGCGCTGCGTGCTCCAAAGTAATGCTTTTTATCGAACGATAAAAACGGCCAAGTGCCGTCTCTTTAGAAACGGCCGAGTGGGAGGCGCCGCAGTGAGATCAGAAATCTCCCTGCGTTGGGGTGTCAGAGGGCTGGGATTCCTTCGGTTTCTGGGTATAAACACGGGGACTTCGGGTTCTCCGCATTTCAGGGGGAGTTTAGAAGAACTTTAATTGGGAATTGAGACGGTGACACGTGTCGGTTCTTTTCAGGAAGAAGATTCGCCGCAGAGTCCTGAAGAAGAACCCGCTGAAGAATCTGAGGATCATGATCAAGTTGAACCCCTACGCCAAAACGATGCGACGCAACACCATTCTGCGCCACGCGCAAAACGTGAGTAGCAGGGAAGCTGGTCATCGACGAGATTGGCTTTAGGATTTCGGAGGATGTGCTGATGCTCTTTTTGTCTTTTTTAGCATAAACTTAAGGAGGAGAAGAAGGCGAAGGCCAAGGCCAAGCTCGCGGCCAAGGTCCCGGCTGAGCCCAGGGCAGAGACCGCGGCCAAGGCTGCCAAGACCCCGGCCAAGGCCAAGGCCGAAGCGTAAACCCCGGGCAGTGCTTCATCCGCTTGAGCTCAGAAAGCCGTACCGTGGATTTCCAACTAATAAAGTCCATTGGAACAGAAATTCTGTCGTTGTTCTGATGCGGGGGGGGTTGGGGTTTTTTTTTGATGGGGTTTAAAGAGTTTCCGTTTTAAAAGAAGAGGCGGAAGTAGGGACCGTCTTTGCCCTCTTAATCCGTTTTCAACGCCCCCTGGAGCCGGGCTTGGCCTTTTCCCCATCTAAGACGGCCCCGCGTGGGGCCATGACGACGAGCGGCCACGCGGTGGCAGCCGCTGCCCGGAAACGCGCAAATGGCGGCGGTGTGACGTCAGGCGGGGGCCTGGCCGCTCTGCCCGCCCGCCCTCCAGGGGGCGCTGTGGCCGCCCGCTTCCCGCCCGTCACGTGGGGCGGGGCGGCGCGCGGAGGATGCTGAGCCGCCTGCAGGAGCTGCGCAAGGAGGAGGAGACGCTGCTGCGGGTGAAGGCGGCGCTGCACGAGCAGCTCACGCGCCTCAAGGTCGGGGGGGAGCGGGCGGCTGCGGAGCGCGGCCGGGGGCAGCGGCAGGGCCGGGCCCGTCCGCCCTTGCCTTCCCGCCCGGGGAGCACCGGGCCGCCGCTCTGAGGGGGCGGCTGCTCCGCGGCGGCCTCCGCCGGTTCCAGGCCCTGCGCTGCCACCGCTTCACGAAACCGACGCGAAGCCGAACGCGGCCCGCCCTCGGTGCCCGGCCCAGGCGGCGGTCTGCTGCTGGGCGCTGAAGCCGGAGCGGTGAAACGGTGACCGAAAAGCTTTGCTGTTACTGCTGTTGATGACTCAAAAATAATTTAATTAAATATTTAATACTTTAAATAGACTCCAGGAAATAGTTGCTGCAGAGGCCTCTGTGTTCCCTCGTTTGCAGGTGGAGGAGCTGGCGCTGCAGTCCCTGATCAGGTCCAGAGAGGAGAAGGTTACGGTCTCGTCAGCGGCTGCAGAGGAGCCTCACGAAGTAAGGGAACGCGGGCTGCCCCGTGACGGGGTGCGGAGAGCAGAGCCGCATCGATTTGAGTGGCTGTAGGTGTTTCTGTGGGTGCTTTTCGTCTGGGCTTCTTAATGTTGACCTTGTTTATGCTGCTCATTGACTGAAAGGCCCAGGAGTTGCACTCGATGATCCTCGTGGGTCCCTTCTCTGATTCTACGAGGTGCAAAATCTGGTTTATTGGTGGTTTCAAGGGTTTCACCTTTTCCCACCCCTGAAAGCAGCACCTTTTTCCCAGGGAGGTTGGGAAATACCCGCTTTATACTGGCGTAGCTTCAGTTTGCCATTTATTAAGCATCGTGTCTAATGCTCTTAACTGTGACGCGCTGGTGTAGCCAGCTGATGGTAGGGGTGGAGGTGCAGGTGTCCTCTGATTTTTTTACTTAGCCTGAACTTGTTAAAACTCTTCTATGGAGAACTGGTGCTGGTCACTGTGACGGGCTCGTGCAGCCAACAGATCTAGTACCAGATTTCTAAAAGAGGCTGCGACTGCACAGCTTTAGTAGTGATTTGGGAAGTATTCGGTATCGCTGCTGGTCTTGATAATTAGCAAGATAAACTCTCTTATTGTGGCAGACTCTTGGGCAGATGGACAACGAGGCTGCTATCAATCAAACTGAATTACACCTAAGTCTTCAAGATCATGAAGAGGAGGAGGAGGAAGAAGAGGAATCTGATTCGTGAGAAAAAAAAAATCAGAGATGGTTTTTAATACAGACTCAGGAATTTCTTCTCCAGTCATATAAAATTCACCAACTGATTTTCATTTTGTCTTGTGTATGGATATGACCTGTATGATACGCAAGACTTGGAGTCTAGGGAGGTTACACTTGAACACATGACTGTCACAAGCTGGGCACATCTTGACTTAGATGTTAAAAGAATGAAAATTTGCTGCGCAAATATGTAGCATAATCTGTTACGCATTTAAAACCTAATGTAGTTTACCACATCTTTACGTGTGAATGGGAGAAGTCATTAATCAAGTCAGACTAATTTAACACATACGTTAAAAGCAATAATTTGTCTGTTCTTATTTCCTGATGCTGACAAATAAAACCAGGCCATGGAGGCTGGTTGCTGAACCAATGATTATATTATAACCTCATTTGCTTAAACTGGGAATTTTAAGATCAGCAGTGAGAAAAGACGCGCCAGGCTTGTCTCCAGGCTTTCAGCTGCTATGTCCTCAGTTACGCGGAAAACTGGACGTACGCTCCCTGTAAACGAGGTAGAGGTGTAGGTGTTCTTGCATTGGGAGAAGCAGGCGCTGCACTGCCGACCTAATCCTTAGCGCGGTAACGAGGTGGCCTCTCTTTGTACCTGCTGGTGCTCTTCTGAAGTACTGTCACTCTGACTGCAACGGTGAAGTATTTTCTACTTCTTGCTCGTTCAGAGTAGCAGCCAATTAGCCTTTTATTTGTCCGCAAATCGTACAGTAACAATTGGTCTGTGTTACCCGTAATAAGGAACTAATATTTTTAAATTAGTGTTATTTTCTTTTTCCCTCTCAGTAACTTCATAAATCAATGCAAGTCCACCTTCTGCTTTCAAGTGAGCTTCGAGGAGGAGTACGAGGAGTTTTAGTTAGTTATAAAATGGAAAGTGATGTGAAGTCCCCTCCACAATTTCTTTAACGGTACAGTAACAGGCTAGTGCTGCTCTTACCACTAGACAATATGTTCTTTCTCCTTGTGGCGTGCAGACACCATGTGGTCCAGCTGGTTATTTTATCAATTCTTGAAGACATGTTTTAAAGCACAGAAACCCAGACTCTGTTAAACTGATTAAAAACAGACAATAAAAGTAGTATGTTAACTCAGCCACTTTGTCAACTGTCTTGCTAGAAAAATAGTCCGTTATATCCAGGGTTGCTCGTTGCACAACTGGTACCTAAAGGTGCTGGTGCTGCCTCTGGCATTGCTCAGAGAAAACAGCATAAATAGTCTTCTGAAGTTTGCTTTTAAGAGCAGCAAAGGAACTTGGAAAAGTGTCCTGGGTGTGCTCAGGACACACGATGCAACCTCCAGTATGTTCCTGCCACTGCTGGAGGAGAGATTGTTTATTTGGCTCGTATTTGGTTTGTAGCGATAGCAACTGAATGTTGGAATGTAAATGCAGCTTCAGCCTGTACTTGGAAGACTAATAGCTTTTTGAGAATCCTGGATGTCTTCATGAAGGAGCGTAGAACATGAGTGCAGAAGATTTAACAAAGCTTTCCCAAGACTCACAGGTAAAAAAAACCCAGAAGCCTGAGCTGAAAACATTACAGCTTGGAGTATCAAATAATTCTTTGGAAGTATGTGTGTGAAGAGCTGGTTTGTGAGGAGCTCAGGCGCCAGCCTCTTCTTTCTTTGCAAGGCTGGGGTGCTTCACTTCGCTCCTTGTCTCTGTCTTACAGCAGGAGCACTTGCCGCCTTTGCTTTCTCCACATTCTGGAGCAGTTGCTCCTGGGTTTCACCTCCAAAGGGCAATTTTGACTGTTGAAAAATGTTATTTGTTCCCAGTATGTTTCAAAGTAGTTTTTGTGGATATACTTTACATTTGTTCTTCCTGCTACCATTTTCTGAATGAGTCCCTTGCTTGCTTTTGGATTAAAATAGACCAGTTTTATTGCACGTTGCAATAAAGTACTTCACCTCACATGTCTTACGACCTAACTGTGCTTGCATTGTTCAAATTATTGCCGTCAGTGGAGCAAACACATAAAATGGGATTTAAATCTCTAAAAACTTGCCGTTCACATACTGCATTTCTTTTACCAAAAAGTACTGTTGGTTTTCTCTGTGTGTGTATAATTCACATATAAAGCTCAAGACAGATTTTAAATTAAACACTACCCAGCCTTGTCACTACTACCAGCAGCCACAGTCAAGTGAAGACAAGCTGAAGGAAGCCGTGGAGGTGTCAGCGAGTCATTTCCTGCTGCTGCTGGGCCGAGGGCTGTTCTGGCCCTCTCTTCGGTACTCAGTACTGTTGGCCAAGTGGAAGTTCATGTCTAGAATGATTTGGATTCCTTTCAGGAAGAAGCTTCAGCCATTTCCGTGTCCGAAACATCCTTTTTCAAGGAGATAAACTTTTTATAGCACTGCTCAGCGTGGCTGTTCAAGAGAGCAAGACTTCGTGCTGAGGACACGCAGCTGTACCCACTTCTCCCCGTTCTGTTGTACACCAACAGCAGCTGACAGAAGCTGAACTTTCCAAGAAAAATAAGCTGAAGAAATCAGGGTACTACAATCACTCCCGGTTAATGACAGGCGCAGGCAGGCAGGCCTTCCCTCTGCTGGAGTGGGGCACAGCACGAAACGGAGCATCGAGCGCTGTACAAGTCATGTCAGCGCTGCACAGACACCACCTCTGCCGTCAGACTTCCCTCAGCCATTCCACAGAAACCTGGTGAACAGGATCTTACCGCACTGCAGTGGCAACTGTCTCGAGCCCCGTTTCACTCATTGTCATTTTAAGTACGCAAGCTCGTACCTCGTGGAAGTAAGGATGTTGTATGGTTGTAGAAAAATATCTAGAAAAGGGGTGTGTAACTCAGCAATGACTTCAGATTATGGCTTTGGTTAAGTTTTTGAGTTTAAAAAAAAAAGCTTCAAGAAGTTACTTGGTAATATATTTATTAAGAGAATCCATCGCTAAACATCTGAGAGAATAAAACAATAGAGGATCTTCATACACTTTAGACACTAACACAGTTGTCATGAATTTTTAGGTTAAAAGAAAGCAAATTGCCTGATCTTTGTCTTGATTCTGTAGGACACTTCCAAGAACTAACTTTTAAAAATCAATTAGAAAGACATACATCACTAAATCCAAGTATGATGATATGCTTTAAAAATAAATATAGAAATATGAACAAGTCTACAAGTAGAATATTGCCCTGTACATTCCAAGAAACGCAGAGCTCTTGCTTTCTTTACCTGGAAGGAGAGATCTCCAAACAACAGCGAAATTGGAACCGTTAGGCCTAACTTTCAGAGACAGTTTGGCAGCAGCAAAAGCATGCTCAACAGATGCAGTTTTGGAGCATCCCTAACCCTTTTCGCATGGGAGATTAGGTAAGCGTGATCGAAGTACCAACAGTTTACAAAGAATCCTGATAAAGTTCAAACAAGCTGGGGGTAAACACCCCCACTGATATTTTCATCAAGAAAACATATCCATAATCACTTAAAGTCAGCAAGCACTGTAACTTAAACATCTTAACGTTTTGGTCAGTAGACGAACGTAATCCAATACGATACCAATTAGTTTATGACAAAATTTAAAACCATTTGGCACATGCTATAAAGACATTCTTCCTTAAGAGGTGAAATACATGTTTGAACAGGTACAAGCTGAGGAAATAGGACCAAAATAGCATTGTTGTTAACAGATGTACAGTACGGGATTTGCTCTTCCATATTCAGACTCCAGCAGCATGCGTGGGCGTGCTCGGTTGGTTAAGGCCTATGGTTGAACAAAGCCACCCCGCAAAATCCACCTCCTCCGCTTCAGATCTCTTAATGAAAGCATGGATCTGAGCAGAGAAGAAGAAGAATAGTATTCAGACACTCAAACCATTAAATAATAATTTTGAATAACATGAAATACAATAAATCCAGTTTACTCTCACTATTCAAGCTAGCTATAACATTTGGCAACCCACATGAAGTGACCAGGAGAGCTTTTCTGCAGGATTACCAAAATAACCAGCATATGAAACGTACACATTGCGAAGTATTCCAGAGGAATACTGCCTACGCCGTGCCTACTGCGGAATACTTACTCCGCAGTATGCGATAAGGATGTGACTCAGCCACTTGAGATAATACTCTGGAAAATATCTGCCTGGGCATAGAAAGGCATTTTGTAATAGAAAGAGCCTGACTGGATTTTGCAGCCTTATTGTACAACAGGATCAGGGCAGGGAAAACTTGATTTTCTGCAGTAGAACTTCAGTCCTACCATTACACTTAAGGCCATGAAAAGATCCACTGAAACTGATAAGGCATTTTTTTCCTGCATGAAATAACAAGATTTTCTTGCGTCTAGTAGTTCGACGTATTTTGCAAGGCAAAGCTGATGGAAAAAGGCAAGTTTTGTGTTTCACAGAAGATGGTAAAAGTGTATCTAACTAGTCCGTAAGGTATGTAGAATTTTGTTCTTTCTTCCTCTTAAAAGTAATAATCTACATACTTTATTAGTGACTAATAAACCCAAGGGAGAGAGAGAATTCTTTTGCTAATTAATTTAATAGCATTAGGTCATATAGTCATTGTAATTATCAAATGACAGACTCCAAACCCCACCAGTTCTGGGCTCCTTGACAGTCCCTGTTTTACGAGTGTGTGAAAGCCTGAGGCCCCTCGATCTCTGGATCAGAAAAGCAGCCTCCCCTCAAACTGTTTGAGCTGCTTGTGTCAGGGGCCACAAACTACACGCTAGGCCATATGCTCTGATCCCGATCTCGGGTCAGCTGAGGAACCCAGCCTGCAGGGAAGCGTTCAAGTTAAGGACTTTCACTTACCATCAGCTGCTTCAGATCTGCTCTCTCAGCAGGATTTTTAATTAAACTAGGAAAACAGAAAGTGTTACACGAGTTACACACTATTATCTTTTAAAATAAAGATTAAGTGATATCATGTTGGTGTAGCGCTTTGGTCCCAAGAAGATACCACTCTAGATAAAAGCCTTAG